TTTAATGTTTTTTAATTTTCATCATAGAGAGTCTTAGTTAAATTTATTCCAAGGTATTTGTGTTTTTTTTTTTTTTTTTGTAGCAATTGTGAATAGGATTGATCTTAGAAGTTCTTTCTCAGCTGTGACATTGTGTATACAAAGGGTGTTGATTTTTTGTGTATTTATTTTATATCCTACTACTTTACCAAACTCTTCTATGAGTTCCAGTAGTCTCTTAGTGGAGTCTTGTGGATCCCCTATATTTAGAATCATGTCATCTGCAAATAAGGATAGCTTGACTTACTCCTTCTGAATCATTATCCCTTTGATTTCTTTTTCTTGCCTAATGGCTCTGGCTAAAACTTCCAGGACTGTATCGGATAGCAGTGGTGAGAGTGGGCATCCTTGTTTGGTTCCAGATCTCAGTGAGAATGCTTCTAGCTTTTCTCCATTCAATAGGACACTGGCCAAGGGTTGGTCATAAATTACCTTGATTGTGTTAAGGATTACTCCTTCTATACTCAATTTGCATAGAGTTTTTGTCATGAAAGGGTGTTGTATTTTATCAAATGCTTCCTCTGCATATGAGATAATCATATGGTTTTTGTTCTTCAGTTTGTTAATATGGTGTATCACACTGATTTGCAAATGCTGAACCATCCCTGCATACCAGGGATAAATCCCACTTGGTTGGGGTGAATGATCTTTCTGATGTGTAATTGGATTTGATTGGCAAGAATTTTATTTGAAGACTTTTGCATCTATGTTTATCAGGGAAATTGGTCTGTAGTTCTCTTTCTCTGTTGTATCTTTTTCAGGTTTAGGAATTATGGTGATACTGGCGTCAAAAAAGAATTTCCTTTCAGTTGAATAGCTTGAGAAGAATTGGAGTTAGTTCTTTAAATGTCTGGTAGGATTCAGCAGTTAAGCCATCTGGTCCTCGGCTTCTCTTTTTTGGGAATGTCTTTATTACTGCTTCAGTTTCCATCTTGGTAATGGGACTGTTTAGGTTTTCTGTGTCTTCATGGCTCAATTTAGGTAGGTTGTATCTGTTCAGGAATCTATCCATTTCTTCTAGGTTTCCTGATTTGTTGGCATACAGCTCTTTGATGATTCTTTTTATTTCTGTGGTGTCTGTTACATTTCCTTTTTCATTTCTAATTTTAGTAATTTGGGTCTTTTTTTTTTTTTTTTTTTGGTTAGTTGAGCCGATGGTGTATCAATTTTATTTATTTTTTCCAAAAAGGTCTTTATTTTGCATGTCTTTTTTATTCTTTTTTTTTTTTTCTTTTGACAGGCAGAGTTAGACAGTGAGAGAGAGAAAGGTCTTCCTTTTGCCGTTGGTTCACCCTCCAATGGCCCCCATGGCTGGTGCACTGCAGCCGGCGCACCACGCTGATCCTAAGCCAGGAGCCAGGTGCTTCTCCTGGTCTCCCATGTGGGTGCAGGGCCCAAGCACTTGGGCCATCCTCCACTGCCCTCCTGGGCCACAGCAGAGAGCTGGCCTGGAAGAGGGGCAACCGGGACAGAATCCGGTGCCCCAACCGGGACTAGAACCTGGGGTGATGGCGCCACAGGCAGAGGATTAGCCTATTGAGCCACGGCGCCGGCCTTTTTTATTGTTCTTTTGGTTTCAATTTTGTTTATTTATTTCTTTTCTCCTACTAGTTTTGGGTTTGGTTTGCTGCTGTTTTTCTAGATCCTTGAGATGCATTGATAACTCATTTATTTGGTGCCTTTCCAATATCTTGACTTAGGCACCAGTTGCTATAAACTTTCCTGTTAATACTGCTTTTGCTTTATCCCATAAGTTTTGATATATTGTATTATATTCATTTGTTTCCAGATTTTTTTTTTTTATTTCTCTTTTGATTTCTTCATTGACCCACTGTTCATTCAGGAGCATGTTATTCAGTCTCCATGTGTTTGCATATGTTCTAGAGATTCCTGAGTTGCTGATTTCCAGCTTCATTTCATTGTGGTCTGAGAAAATGCATGGTATGATTTCAAATTTTTTGAATTTGCTGAGACTTGCTTTATGGCCTAGCATGTGGTCAATCTTAGAGAAAGTTTCATGTACTGGTGAAAAGAATGTGTATTCTGTGGCTGTAGGATGAAAAATTCTGTATATATTTGTTAGATCTGTTTGGTCTATAGTGTCGATTATCTCAGTTGTTTCCTTGCTAATTTTCTGTCTGGTTGATCTGTCCATTGCTGACAGGTATTGAAGTCCCCCATACTATTGTATGTCTCCTAAAAGTGTGTGTCTCCTTTTAGATCCCTTAACAATTCTTTTAAATAGCCAGGTGACTAGAATTAGGTGCATATACATTTATAATAGTTACATTGAATTGATCCCTTAATCATTACATAGTATCTTTCTTTGGCCCTTTTAACAGTTTTTGTGTTAAAAATCTGTTCCATCAGAGATTAGGATGGCTATACCAACTCTTTTTTTAGTGTGTCTGTTAGCCTGGAATATCTTTTTCCATCATTTCACTTTTGGTATGCATGCTTCTTTGTTGGTGAGATGTGTTACTTGTAGGCAGTGGATAGACAGGTTTTGTTTTTTAATCCATTCAGTCAGTCTGTGTCTTTTAACTGGAGAGTTGAGACCATTTGCATTCAAGGTGACTGTTGATAAGTGATGACTTTGCCCTGCATTTTTCTAAAAATATTCCTATTTTTACTTTGGATTTCCTTTGTACTTCTACTGGGCGATTTTCTTCCTTTACCTTTTGTAGTGATGACCGTGTTTCTGTGTACAAGCACATCCTTAAGCATCTTTTGCAAGGCTGGGCTAGTGGTGACAGATTCTTTACATACATTTCTGTTTGATATGGAAGGTCTTTTTTCACCTTCATTCGTAAATGAGAGCTTTGCAGGGTACAGTATTCTTGGTTAACAGTAGACTTAAAATATATCTCGCCATTCTCTCCTAGCCTGTAGGGTTTCTGATGAGAAGTCCCCTGTGAGTCTAATTGGAGATCTTCTGAAAGTAATCTGGCATTTCTCTTGTGCACATTTATGTTTTACTCTGGTGAGTTTCACTACAATGTGTTATGGTGAAGATCTTTTCTGGTCATGTCTGTTAGGAGTTCTGTGTGCTTCATATACTTGGATGTCTCTTTCTCCAAATTAGGGAAGTTTTCTGTTGTTATTTCACTAAAAGGCCTTCTAATCCTTTCTGTCTTCCACGTCTTCAGGAATTCCTAGAACCTGAATGTTGTGTCATTGATAGTATCCTGTAGATTCCCAGCAGTGTTTTTTAGTTACCTAATTTCTTCTTGTATTTGGCCTGACTGTATAAATGCTTTGTCTTCTAAGTCAGATATTCTTTCTTCTGTTTCACTGGTTCTGTTGTTAAGGCTTTCCACCACAGTTTTTATTCTATTGAATTCTTCATTTCCAAGATTTCATGTCCAAAATGGTGCCTGCTCTCTATCGGCTTGTTGCAGGACACCGTTGCAGGGTATTTGGGGAGAGAAAAATGTGCCCCCTCCTTTTTTTTCTCCTGTAGCTTGGCATGCACACTATCCCCTATAGAGCTCCAAGCTGGATTCCCTCCAGGCTCTTCCTGCAGCTTTATCTCCAGTGGTTTGGGCTACTGAAGTCTGGTCTCACGTCACCCTCCAAAGCTGGTGCAGAGGCTTTCGGCTGGTGGGGTTCTGAGTTGTCTGCATGCACACCCTCCACGTAGGTCCACTGTGTCCCTCTAATTTGCTTGGAGTTTCCTCTGCCGTTTTCTCCTTCAATCTTCCCTGAGACTGCACTCTATCCACTTTTTTAAAACTATCTTCTCCTAGACGAGAAAAGTAAGCTCCCTCCCTACTACGCCTTCTTAATCCAATCTACTTAACATTTCTGCTTGTTTCCTTGTCATAGGCCCTTGCCAAGTATCATTTCAAGCCTTTGTGAAATGGAGATATCAAAAGTATTGTAACAGGTTTAAAGCTGTATATGTACTTTATTTTATATGAATTTTTTAAGTTTCATATCTGGCGATTATGTTACCTACTGTTCTGTTGGCAAAACAAGTATTAATAATAGACTTTCCACATAGATGTTGGAATACTTGTCCTTTTCTCCCTGTTCTTTAAATTCTGTGCTTTCTACATTACAGAAGAGGGTAGACCAAGTTCATAATGTTACTTTCTTTGAGGTGTATTTCATTTAGGACATGCTTGCATTAAATGAAAATTTACATTGTAAGTATAAATCCATATTGGAAAAATCAGTTGTGGAAATTTTAAGTTGTTTTAAATTTAGATAAAATAAGCTGGAAATTTTAAGAATCTTTAAAGGTGTGCTTAACATTTGAGTAGGTTATTTTTAGATTGTTTGTTAGTTGTGGAGTACTAGAGGACAAGGATCTTTGATCATCTTTATCTCTCTCAATGCCTAGCATGTAATAACTGCTTGGTATGTTCATTGAAGAAATGATCACATGTAAGTAACAGCAACAAGGGCTACTTTTTTTTTCCTTTTTTTAAAAGATTTATGTATTTATTTGAAAGTCAGAGTTACAGAGACAAGAGGGAGAGACACACACACAGAGAGAGAGAGAGAGAGAGAGAGAGAGATCTTCTGTCTGCTGGTTCATTCCCCAAGTGTTGCAACAGACAGGGCTGGGACAGACCAAAACCAGGAGTCAGGAGCTTCTTCCAGGTCTCCCACAAGGATGCAGGGGCCCAAGGACTTGGGCCATCCTCTGCTACTTCCCCAGGTTTATTAGCAGGGAGCTGGATCAGAAATAGAGCAGCCAGGACTCAAACTGGCACCCAGATGGGATGGTGGCACTGCAGACGGTGTCTTAACCTGCTGTGCCACAGTGCTGTCTCCTGGGGTTACTTTTTATTAGTCACCGAGAAGTGGAGTGGGCAGGTTACCAATTGGGGCTTATCATTTCTGGTTTGGGAACTGGTTGAAGTGAAATTTAGCACATTTTCTTGTTAAACTGTCTTTATGCCTGGCCTTGCCTCATAGCTAATCCTTATGAATAAAAAACATCTCCTTAGCAGGCTCTCCTGGCTGTGATTGACCTTCAGTTACAGAGATTGGGAGCAGAGTGTTAACAGGTGTGAGGATAGCAAAGCCGCGCAATCCTTTCAGGCCATTCCTACTGATGTCTTCTTTTCAAACTGTAAGTCAAAATGAGATAAATTTATTTCCTTAGCTTAGTGGCTGAAAGCTTGTAAATTTTGTTTCCCTTCTTTCCCCCTCCCACCACATATGTACGGTGGAAAAATTCCATACGTGAGTAGGCAAAACAAATCACCTGAATTCTAGGAGACTTTATAAATCAAGTTTGCCTTTTGTGGTGAAACCAACACAAAGAACTAAAGTAATTATCTTTAAGGAACTTAATAAGTTTATCTTGCAAGATAGAAAAGTAATTGATGAGGCTGGCACTGTGGCCTAGTGGGTAAAAGCCACTGCCTGCAGTGCCAGCATCCCACATGGGCGCTGGTTCAAGTCCTGGCTGCTCCACTTCCAATCCAGCTCTCTGCTATGGCCTAGGAAAGCAGTGGAAGATGGCCCAAGTCCTCAGGTCCCTGCACCAGCGTGGGAGACCTAGAAGAAACTCCTGGCTGCTGGCTTCAAATCAGCCCAATTCCAGCCATCGCGGCCATGTGGGGGAGTGAACCAGCGAAAGACTCTTTTTTCCCTCCCCCCCCCCCCGCCTCTCTGTAACTCTTTCAAATAAAATAAATAAATCTTAAAAGAAAAAAAAGTAATTGGGAGTAAAATTTGATGAGCTTGACTATATATAAAATAAATGAAAAGGAAAGAAAATCCCTGTGGTCTGGAGTTGTTGTGGAAGTCTGTATACCTCAGCTTCTAGTGTGGCCAGGGTTTCAGTGACAGAGAGAAGAGGGGAACAACAACCTGTCACAGGAATGGAGGAGAGGGCCATGGTGTATGTGGACAGTGATGATTCCTGCTTGATGGGCATTGAGATTCTTTGTTGGGAAATGAAGTGGACAGGAGAGGGGTGGCCCGGCTATTGGGATTCTCAAGCCATACACACATGATTGACCCAACAAGTCAGGAAGGAATTCTTTCTACTTTGAGTATGTTTGAAATTTTTTATGATAAATGGAAGGAGAAAATAGATTTTATATAGCATCATGAAACTTAACTGTAGAGAAAATTCATATTATGAGTCATGGAAAAGTTAGGAACAACTAACTATTTTTTTTATTAAAGGTTTTTATTCATTTATTTGAAAGGCAGAGTTATAGAGGGAGAGGGAAAGTGGGAGAGAGATCTTCCATCCTCTGGTTCACTCCCCTGTGGCTGCAACAGCCAGGGGTAGGCCAGGCCAAAGCCAGGAGCCTGGAACTCCAACCAGGTCTCCCACATGAGTGCAGGGGCCCAAGGACATGGGTCATCCTTCTCTGATTTACCAGGCACATTAGCAGGGAGCTGAATTGGAAGTGGAGTAGCCAGGACTCAAACCTGCACTCATATGGGGTGCTGGTGCCACCAGCTGAAGCTTTATCCACTATACCACAGCACTGGTCCCTAGAATTTCTTTATGGTCAGTTCCTAGATAGAAAGGTGAAAGAAAATTAGTGTTTTTCTGACCCACCTTGGGCAAGAGAAGCTCTAGTTTCTTTGGGTTGCCTTGAGGAATGAGTTAGGAGCCAAGAGTTGTAGATTAAAACCAAAATAAAATATCACACCTGCCAAGAGGGCTGAGTGTTTGGATAGCTGGATTGTTTTACTCCTGTTTTCCCAGACCTACCACCATTATCCTTGCATTTTTACTTCATCTGGTACTACTAATTTCCTAGTGTATTTTGATCATTTTTGAGTTTTCATGTTCAGAAAGTAAAACATTGGTTACATTTTAGGATACTGACCTAAATGATGAGGTAGTTTTATGGTTTAATGGCTACTTAAGAATAGGTACCTTTATTTTTTAGGGCCAGTTATGAAGCATTTCATTCATCTATAAACATGTAACATCTAAATATATATTTAAACATGTTTTGAAAGTGTCATATCTAGGCGTACAAGCTAAAGAGGTAAGTATTGTTCAGGAGCCCAGGAATTTATAGTCCGATGAGTAAGACTGGTTCATAAACACAGATGGACTTGTCATACAGGGAGTGGTAGGAACAATGTAGACATTTTTATTTGTTTTAACTTCTAATGTGTAGAAATAATGATTGTCCCTAACCATCTTCTTCCCAAATTTTCTTACCTCTTTTGTTCCTGCTTGTGTTTTCATCTCTGTAACTGGTTGTTACAGTCAAGAAGACTCTTCTTGTCTAGAATTTTTCCAGAAGCATGCTAGAGTTTGAGACTTGAGATGACTATAAAGAAGGCAGTACTTTAGATTGATTAGCTTCTTTTCTTATATGTATCTGTTAAAGTTGTGACTCATCTAACACCTAGCTAGAGGCAGGATGGCCAAACTCCTCACCTAGAAGTGTTCTGTTTTGTTTTTTTAAAGATTTATTTATTTATTTGAAAGGCTGAGTTAGAAGGAGAGAGAGAGATGTCCCGTCCACTGGTTCACTCTTCAAATGGCGGCAATGGCCAGGGCTGGTCCATGCTGAAGCCAGGAGCTTCATCTGGGTCTCCCACATGGATGAAGGGGTCCAAGGACTCTTTCCCATCCTTCGCCTTCCCAGGTGCATTAGCAAGGAGCTGGATGGGAAATGGAGCAACCAGGACTTGAATCAACAGCCATATGGGATGCTAGCTTCTCAGGCAGCCACTTAACCTACTGTACTGTTGCAGTTGATTTCTCAACAATGTTGCAGTGGGTTAAGAGGCCCGGAGTCACCACACTGACCCCGGGAGTCAGGTGAAAGCAGGCTTGAGGCAAGCGGCCTGCAGACTCATTTGTTTCAGTTAGTACAACAGCTTACATAGCCAAGACCAGCTAATCCGGTCAAGGGGCGGTCTATGCCCCAACCAATCACAGCCTGTTGCCAGGCAGGCTCCTTTTACCATGTGGGTTTTTTTTGTTTGTTTGTTTGTTTGTTTGTTTTTTTGACAGGCAGAGTGGACAGTGAGAGAGAGAGACAGAGAGAAAGGTCTTCCTTTGCCGTTGGTTCACCCTCCAATGGCCGCTGCGGCCAGCGCACCGCGCTGATCCGATGGCAGGAGCCAGGTACTTATCCTGGTCTCCCATGGGGTGCAGGGCCCAAGTGCTTGGGCCATCCTCCACTGCACTCCCTGGCCACAGTAGAGAGCTGGCCTGGAAGAGGGGCAACCGGGACTAGAACCCGGTGTGCCCGTGCCGCAAGGCGGAGGATTAGCCTAGTGAGCCGCGGCGCCGGCCGCCATGTGGGTTTCAAAGCCATCCAATCACAGCCTGTTGCCAGGCAGGCTCCGCTGCCAGGTGGGTTTCAAAGCCATTCCTGAGTAACTGACGTTCGCTTGCCAGTGGCCATCTTGGGATGGCCTTCTTATTCCACCACACTGTACCACAGCACCGGACCCCCCAGAAGTTTTCTCGCTGGGATTATCTTCCCTAAAGAGGGACACAGGGAGGACTAAAGATACATTTTCCATATTACTTATGAGAGAGGTCAGTTCTAGAAAGGTTTCAAGTAGACGTACCACCACATTTTATATGACTGAAACTTAGAAAACTCAGCACTGGGGTTGGCATTGTGGTACAGTGGGATAAGCTGCTGCTTGCAATGCTGGCATCCCACCTTATTGGCAAGCTGGATCAAGTCCCAGCTGCTCTGCTTCTGACCCAGCTCCTTGCTAATGTGCCTGGGAAAGCAGCGGAGGATGGCCCAAGTGTTTGGGCCCTGTGACCTCCATGGGAGACCTAGATGGAGCTAAAGAGGTGTGGCTTTGGCCTTCACCAGCTCTAGCCAGTTGGGGAGGAATTTGTGGATAGAAGATATCTCTCTCCCTCTCTGTCACTCTTGCTTTGAAATAAATACATCTTTAAAAAAAGAAAACTCAGCCGGCGCCATGGTTCACTTGGTTAATCCTCTGCCTGCGGCGCCAGCATCTCATATGGGTGCCGGTTCTAGTTCCGGTTGCTCCTTTTCCAGTCCAGCTCTCTGCTATGGCCCGGGAAGGCAGTGGAGGATGGCCCAAGTGCTTGGGCCCTGCACCCGCATGGGAGACCAGGAAGAAGCTCCTGGCTCCTGGCTTCAGATCAACGCAGCACCGGCTGTGGCCGCCATTGAGGGGGTGAACCAACGGAAGGAAGACCTTTCTCTTTGTCTCTCTCTCTCTCTCTTGCTGTCTCTCTACCTGTCAAATAATAATAATAAAAAAGAGTAAATAAATAAAAAAAGAAAACTCGGTACCTTTCTGATTTGAGTATCTGATCTTTTATCCAAGTTTCAGTATTTTGCCCTAGATTGTAGGGTGACCTTTATTTTGGGAATTTGATAATGGTTTATGTATTGGCATCCCTGCATCTCTTAAGCACTGAAGTATGTGTTATAGAACCTTAATATGGAAATGTTCAGACATGCACAGAAGTAGCAAGAATAATACAGTGAACCCCTCTGTGCTCATCACCCAGCTTTAACTGTGATTCCTATTTTCTACAGTTTTTCCCCAAAAATTTTGATGGAAATTTTTATTACTATAGTAAGCCTTTTGATGTGTATAAGTTAGCGATTTCAGTGTCATATAGGAATAAGCATTTATGATCATGCTCACCAGTTTGTGGAACAGTAGGGATAATTCTGTTCTGTGTCTTTCTCCATATTGTGATCAGTGAGCTACCCAGGGCATTCGGGGACAAAGGGACTAGAGAATACAAGGTGCCTCTTAGGTCTAGACTCAGAACTGGCCCTCTTTCCTAGCACCCCAACTCCCACTGGCCAGAGCCAGCTTGATGGCCAAATCTAAATCAGTGGAATAGAAAATCTTCTCATTGAAGTGTATAGGAATCATAATGTACCTCAATAGGCAGTTCAAAACATTGGTGTTTTGTGTGGAGTAATAGTAATACTATTTACTATTATTATAGTACTTTGTTACTTCTTATTTACCTGTTTCTTATTTGTCACACTAATGAAGACTAAAAGCTATCACCATTTTATTCAGAGTGCTTAGCATATGCTTACTATATGCAGAATGTATCAGACAAATACCTTTGTTAGTAAACACATTAAACTAATAAGGGGGCTAGGTAGATAGAAAGTTGTTTCTTTGGTTAAAGGCCAAAGAATGAAAAACTTGGCTACTTAATGAGGATATTGAGTGAACTGAATTGCAGGTTATTTCTAGAACTCAGTAGTTAAATTGTGGGACTAATAATTCTGAGACATACTAGAATGTTGGGCTGGCAGTTAGTTGTAACCAGTTGTATACCTTGTTGCTAAATACTGTTTGTTTTTTCCTCCTTTGATTTCTGTATTTACCTTTAGTTCAGTTATCAGCAGAATTTAGGAGTTGGACATTTGAAAAAATATTTTGTAGTCTTTGGTAAGCTTCTATTATCCATCTTTTCTTGTGGACTGAGTCCTCTAGGTGCCATGGTCCTCATGTTCTCTAAAGTCTACTGTACTGTACCCTGACAGACATTTTCCTCCTAGGATTGTCCTCCTCTGCTAACAAAATAACATGAAATCTGCCATCTCTCAACCCATCACTAAATAGGCTAAATAAATCCCCATATATTTCTGTCCAGATGTATTTATTTATGTATATATATTTAAAAAGATTTATTTTATTTGAAAGAGTTCACTCCATGAATGGACACAGTAGGCCAGGCCTAACCCAAGAGCCAAGAACTCCATCTGGGTCTCCCATGTGGGTGCAGGGGCCCAGGGACTTGGGGGCCATCTTCCATTGCTTTCCCAAACACATCAGCAGGGAGCTGGATCAGAAGTGTACCAGCCAGGACTTGAACCTGCACCAATCTGGGATGCCATTTTTGCAGGCACTGGTTTATCCCACTACATCACAATGCTGGCCCCCATATTTATTTTTAAGAAGAAAACCTGTGGGAAAATTTTGAGTTTTATAAATTATTCAAAAAAGACATATTTATAAAACTTAAATATATTTGTTAGAGGGGCTGGTGCTGTGGGGCAGTGGATGAAAGCTCCAGCTTGTAGCACTGGCATCCCATATGGGCACCAGTTCAGGTCCTGGCTGCTCCACTTCCAATCCAGCTCCCTGCTGTGGCTTAGGAAAGCAATGGAAGATGGCCCAAGTCCTTGGGTCCCTGCACCAACATTGGAGACCTGGAAGAAGCTCCTGGCTCCTGGCTTTTGATTGGCTCAACTCCAGCCGTTTTGGCCATTTAGGGAGTGAACCAGCAGATAGAAGATCTCTTTCTGTCTCTACCTCTGTAACTCTTTCAAATAAATATATATTTCTAAAAATTATTTGTTGGATATATTTTCATATCAGTTAAGTTTTTGTCCTTTGATGTATTGGCTCAGATTGGATTTTTTTTAATTTAAACCAGAATTAATTACATTTATTTAAACGGTTTTAGATCATGATCCCTTCTCTTAAAAAGAAATATTAGGTTGGTGTTAAATTTCAGTTATAATAGATACATTGCTAATAAGCAGTAATAAAATATTTTTCCTGCAAATACAAACCTTAATGAGGTTTCACCTCACCCCAATTAGAATGACTATAATCCACAAATCCAAAAACAATAAATGCTGGTGAGGAGCATTTTTTTGTTTGTTTTTAAAGATTTATTTATTTGACAGGGCCGGTTATGTGGCGAAGTGGGTAAAGCCGCCGCCTGCAGTGCTGACATTCCATATGGGTGCCACTTTGGGTCCTGGCTTGCTCCACTTTCGATCCAGCTCTCTGCTATGGCCTGGGAAAGCAGTAGAAGATGGCCCAAATCTTTGGGCCCCTGTACCTGCGTGGGAGGACCTGGAGGAAGCTCCTGGCTCCTGACTTCGGGTCGGTGCAGCTTGGGCCATTGTGGCAGCCAATTGGGGAATGAACCAGCAGATAGAAGACCTCTATCCCTCTATGTTTCCTTCTTTCTCTGTGTAATATTTGAAAGGCAGAGTTACGGAGCAGCAAAGAGAGAGAGAGAGAGAGAGAGAGAGAGATGTCTTCCATCTATTGGTGCACTCTCTAAATGGGCATTACGGCCAGAGCTGAACTGATCTGAAGCTGGTTCACTCCCCAAAATGGCCACAGCAGTCAGAGCTGGGCTGATGCAAAGTCAGAAGCCGGGAACTTCTTTCAGATCTTCCATGCAGGTGTAGGGGCCCAAGGACTTGGGCCATCTTCTTCTGCCAGGCCATAGCAGAGAGCTGGATCAAAAGTGGAACAGTTGGGACTCAAACCGGTACCCATATGGGATGCTGGCACCTCAGGTGGCAGCTCTATCCGTTATGCCACAGCACTGACTCCCTAATCCTTGGTAGGCATGTAAACTAGTATAACCATTATAGAAGACACTATGGAGACTCTTCAGAGATATGAAAATAGATCTACCATGTGACTGAGCCACTGTACTCCTGGGAATTTATTCACAGGAAATGAAATCAGCATATGAAAGTGTTATTTGTACCCCCATGTTTATTGCAGCTCAATTCACAATAGCTGAGATAAAGAATCAACCCAGATGTCTATCAGCTGACGACCAGATAAAGAAAATGTAGCATAAATACACAATGGAATACTACTCAGCCATGAAAAAGAATGAAATACTGTCTATTAGAATAAAATGGATGCAACTGGAAACCAGTATACTTCATGAAATAAGCCAGTCTCAGATACCATGTTTTCTGTGATATGAGATGGTCAATAGGGAATACCAAAAAAAAAAAAAAAATACAGGGATGAAATGTTCACTTTGGCATATGATTATCATTTTTAGCCCTTGTTTATACTTCTGTGGAAGAATTGTGGTCTTCCTACTTTTTACTTGTTGAATATTATGATTAGTGGCAAATTAAGCCTGTTAATATAGGGTGGATTAAAATTATGTGTTTGCAAAAACTGATGAAGAGAGGGAACAGGAAGGGGTTTGGGAAGGGAGCTGGAGGGTGAAGGAAATGTCTTCTTGGAACTGTACTTAAGGAATGCATAAAATCTGTTCTCTTTATATTAATAAAAATTTCAAAAATATTTTTCCTTTTTGAGAATAGAAATGAAGTAAAGTTTTGAATCGTATGAGTGATTATAATCATTTCATGAAAATCTCAATTCCTTTTTTTTTTTTTTTTTTGTTTAGATTTGAAAACTGCATCATCCTGCCTCCAGCACCAGCAGTTTCTCCCTTCTGTGATCAATGTAATTCACAGGAATTTCTTAAGTAACAAACGAAATGAGCCCAGGGCGTGGAAAATATGACTTTTATATTGGTCTGGGATTGGCTATGAGCTCCAGTATTTTCATTGGAGGGAGTTTCATTTTGAAAAAAAAAGGACTTCTGCGACTTGCCAGAAAAGGTTCCATGAGAGCAGGTGGGTTGTGTCCTGTGAGACTTTGAAATGATATCAGGGTGTACTTACTTACTTATGTTCTTGTGCCATAGAAGGTCATGCCTTTATTCCTACTGAGTATATCAAATCTGTGAACTGTTCAGTAGTTCTAAATGTGGATAGAGAATCAAGTATCAATTTTGTAATAAGGAAAAAAAAAAAAGTGAAGTGTCTAAATTAGTTAACTGCCCATCCTGCAGTTATTTTCAGAGTTGTAGCAAGAACTGATGCCAAATTTGCATCCAGGAGCTGGTGCTGTGGCGCAGTGGGTTGATCCTCCACCTGGGGTGCCAGCATCCCATATGGGCGCTGGTTCTAGTCCTGGCTGCTCTTCCCATCCAGCTCTCTGCTATGGCCTGGGAATGCGGTGGAAGGTGGCCTAAGTCCTTGGGCCCCTGCACCCGCGTGGAAGACCTTTCTTTCTGTCTCTCCCTTTTATTGTCTGTAACTCTGCCTCTCAAATAAATAAAAACTCTTTAAGAAAAATTTGCATCCAGCCTTTTTTTTTTTTAAAGGTTTATTTTATTTGTTTGAAAGAGTTATATAGAGAAAGGTATAGACACAAAGAGAGAGGTCTTTTGTCTGCTGGTTCACTCCCCAAATGGCTGTAACAGCTGGAACTGAGCCTGTCTGAAGCCAGGAACTTCTTCCAGGTCTCCCATGTGAATACAAGGGTCCACATACCCTGGCCATCCTCTGCTGCCTTCCTAAGATCATTAGCAGAGAGCTGGATTGGAAGTGGAGCAGCCAGGCTCATATGCCGATGCTACAGGCTAGAGCTTTAACCCGTTGTGCCACAGCATTAGCCCCTCAGCCTTTACTTTACATTTCTATATATCTCCAGAGAAGAAAATAAAGATTCATGAATCAGAATCTTACTGAAGACTGAGGTCCTTTGTCAATGATAGTGCAAGTTTTGACTTTTACCATAGACATTTTTTCTAATGTCAAATTGGCAAGAAAGAAAGGAGGGCTTCTGTGGCTTGAAGAATACTCATTTTAAATAAATTTCTAATGCAGGTTTCCTTGAAAACTGCCAACAGGTCACAAAATCTGGGGGATCCTTTGTGTGATTGAACCCCATTTTGAGATTTATTTATTTGAAAGAGTTACAGACAGACAGGTCTTCCATCTTTGGGCTAATAGATGACTGCAAAGGCTGGAGCTGAGCCAATCTGAAGCCAGGAGCCTGGACTCCTCTCTGGGTCTCCCATGAGTGTGCAGGAGCCCAGGTATTTGGGCCATCTTCCACTGTTTTCCCAGGTACTAGCAGGGAGCTGGATTGGAAGTGGAGCAGTTGGGACTTGTACTGGCACCCATATGAGATGCTGGTGCCACACATAGAGGCTTAACCTACTATACCATAGTGCTACCCCCTGAACTTCACCTTGACGCCTCAATCTGAGGATGTTAATGATAGCTTCCAGCATTATTGGTCCCATGTCATATTCGTATCTTTCTATCTTTGCTGCAGTTCTAGACTTGAATTGGACCTCAAGTAGACCTGCTTTGGCAATAAAAAAAAAATCACCTCTATCTTTCTTGTGCCAACTTTATAGCCAAACCTAATCAACAATCTTCAAAACATAAAACAATAGCCTCTATTGGGATTTAATGGACAAAGAAGAAAGTGCTGAATCTCCTGTTTGCTATCAGTCCCTTATCCTTGGTCCTAAGGCAGATAATGTTGTTACTTGTGATGGACACAGTTGTAAAGGATTCATTCACTTCAGCTTTTTCTTTTGGGCGGTGGTTAAGTACTGATTGTTTCCTGACCTTGGTTAAGTACTGACCAGTGGTTAAGTACTGATTGTTTCCTGACCTTGTTAGTTTATCCAAAGGAAAGCCAAGGCAAAAGGGTTTGTGTTCTGGCAGTGCTGGTCAGCATAGTGTCTGGTCAGAATAGGACCGCAATCTCCACAGTTACTATACCATAAGTGGGGTCATTCACACCTAAATGGCCTATCCAGTTTCCGATTAGTTCATTTAAGCTGAGTCCACAAAACTAAAGAAGGAAGTATGAGTTGAATATAAGGATTGATTTAGTTCCTCAATCAGGAGTATAGGATAGACATGAACATTTTTTTAACATTCTCATGGTCTTAACATCCCCTTTTCTAAGGTAATCATAAAAATATTATCTCAACATTCCCATTTATAATTATCCAGAAACCTTTATTTAAACCTTTATTAAAAGTACTTTGGCCTGGCACAATCCTAGCTATTGTAGAGTGAATAAAACAGATGGATATCTCTCTTTTTCTCTCTTTCTGACTGTGCCTTTCCAATAAATGTATTTTTTAAAAAATGTTGGGGCCGGTGCTGTGGCATAGCAAGTAAAGTCGCTTCCTGCAGTGCCAGCATCCCATATGGGTGCTGGTTTGAGTCCTAGCTGCTGCATTTTTGATCCAGCTCTCTGCTATGGCCTGGGAAAGCAGTAGAAGATGGCGGCCCAAGTCCTTGGATCGCTGCACCCACATGGGAGGCAGGGAAGAGGCTCCTGGCTTCGGATCAGCGCAGCTCAGGCCATTGTGTCCAATTGGGGAGTGATCCAGTGGATGGAAGACCTCTCTGCCTCTGCCTCTGCCTCTCCTTCTCTCTTTGTGTAACTCTGACTTTCAAATAAATAAATAAATCTTTTTTTTTAAAGCAGTAGTAATTAGATATTTTTAAGTCTGCTATTACTAATAGTGTTCATACTAGTGTTTAAACAAAAGCATGGTAATATTTCAAATAAATAAGCATTTTTTTATTCACAGGTCAAGGTGGCCATGCATATCTTAAAGAATGGTTGTGGTGGGCTGGACTGCTGTCAAGTATGTATAGAAAACATTTTAAGAAAATATTACAAATACAAAAATACTTGCATATACTATTACTCATATTACTTGGAAATTTTAAAACTTTGAATCTTGTTTTTTAAAGATCAAAATTCAAAATATATAATAGCCTATATAACTCATTTTGCAATTTAATAGCTTATTTTATTTGAATGATAAGATTTTTTTACCCATCTGATTAAAACATGTTTGGTTTACCTGTGTATTGTTAAAAATTCTGAATTTTAGAAAGTAATTTTGAAAGTGAAAGTTCATAAGAAATGCTGTTTGTAGTTTTCCCCTTCCATTGGTTGTCATTCCAAATTGAAAAGAAGGTATGTACTTTGTAAGACTACTGCCCACGCTTATTTAATTGGTTTTCTTTAACAAAATACATGAAAAATATTATCCTTAAGATATTGATTCTTGACTGTTCATTCAACAAGTATTTGTTGATCTCTTTCATATGCTAGGCATCATTCTAGGTGCTGGAGACACTAGATTGAGGAAAATATGAAAAATTTCTACCCACATGAAGCTTATATTCTTGATGGGAGACAAACAATAAACAAGATAAATGTGTGTGTGAGTAGTACCAAATGCTAAGAAGGAGGAGTAAAAATGAGAAGGGAAATGTAAAATTGGAAGAGATTGGTTTAAAATTTTAGAATGGGGGCCAGGGCAAGCCTCACTGAAAAGAATATTTGAGTACGAGATGTGAGGAAGGCAGTCATCTGAGTGTGTCACCTCGGATTGGAGTCCTCCAGCTCCAGTCCAGCTTTCCCATACCTGCAGCCTCAACTGAAATCTTGACTGCTGTCTTAAAAGATCCTGAATGAAAAGTACTTGCTGACTCCTAAAGTCTTGACTAACAGGACCAAGAGAAACCATGAGAGTAAACAGTTACTGTTCTTTTAAACTGCCAATTTTGGGGTGCTTTGTTAATAGCACTAGGTTATTGAAATCCCAAGCATTAAAAACAAATATAGCAGTAAGGGAATGAAGATGGGGAAGAAGTATCAGGCAGCAAGTTCAGAGAAATAATATTGAAACTTATAAAACTTGAATATCAGAAAGTAATATTGGGGATCATTATAATGGTAGATGAGGTGATTGAATCGACATTCTTACTGAAAACAAGTTAAAAATCTGTACAAGGAGTGGGTGTTTGGCTCAGCAGTTAATATACTGCTTGAGATGTATGCATCCCACATTGAGTTCCTGGTTTGAGTCCTGCTCCAGTTCTGATCCAGCTTCCTGATACTGTGCATCTTGGGAGAATGCACAATATCAGGTGCCTCCCAAGTGGGATAGACATACTGAGTTCTTGCTCCTGGCTTTAACCTGGCCCAGTCCTGGTAAAAGCAGCTATTTGGGGATTGAATCAACAGATGGAAGAGCTCTTTCCGTCTTTCCAAAAAAACAAAAAAAAGTATGTAAACTTTACTTTTTTTTTTTTTTTTGACAGGCAGAGTGGACAGAGAGAAAAGTCTTCCTTTGCCGTTGGTTCACCCTCCAATGGCCGCCGCGGCGGCGCATCGTGCTGATCCGCAGCCAGGAGCCAGGTGCTTCTCCTGGTCTCCCATGGGGTGCAGGGCCCAAGCACTTGGGCCATCTTCCACTGCACTCCCTGGCCACAGCAGAGACCTGGCCTGGAAGAGGGGCAACTGGGACAGAATCTGGCGCCCTGACCGGGACTAGAAACTGGTGTGCCGGCGCCGCAAGGCGGAGGATTAGCCTAGTGAGCCTCGGCACCGGCCAAACTTTACTATTTTTTAACAGTTTATTTATCTGAAAGAGTGACAGAGCCGGAGAAACAGAATGAGAGATCTTCTCTCCGATAGTTCACTATCCAAATGACTGTGATGGTTAAGGCTGAGCCAAGAACTCTGTCCAGGTCTCACGTGAGTGGCAGGAGTGCAAGTATTTTTGCCATCTCCTACTGCCTTCCCAGTTGCATTAGCTGGATTAGATATGGGGGCAGATAGGACTCAAAGCAGCACTCAGATATGGAGTGCTGCAGTTGTAGGCAGTGGCTTAACCTGCTGTACCACAACACCAGCCTCCAAAACATAAATTTTTAAAAACTGAACAAGGAATTGGCATTGTGGCATAGCAGGCAAAGCCACAGCCTGCAACACTGGCATCCCATATGGGTCCTGGGTTGTCTTGTCCAGCTCCCTGTGAATGGCCTGGGAAAAGCAGTGGCAGATGGCCCAAGTGCTTAGGCCCCTGCCACTCAGGTGTGCGACTCTGCTGAAGCCCCTGGCTTCAGTCTGGCCCAGTAGTTGCTATTGCATCTGGGGCGTGAACCAGTGGCTGGAAGGCCTTTTCTTTATCTCTGTAACTCTGGCTTTCAAAATAAATTTTTTAAATTCATAAATTAAAAAACTGAACAAAATTTAGAAATCATCCTCTTAAAGCATCAAAGAGCTAACATGACCATGAAGAATTACCTGGTCAAGATGAGGGATGCTGGAGTTACTTCTGCCCTAGTGGTAATTGCAGATGCTAGAGTAGGCGGTGGGAAGATAGTGAACCTTTGGTTTAACAAGGGTCAAAGTCTGATGCTGCCAAGAATCAGAAATACCATCTGCTCTGAGGACTCTGGAAAGGCTGTACTTTGGAGTGAGTTAGGGACCATGACTAACTGGTCATTTGTATGCACTGGGTAACCTCTAGCCTTGGTCCTATGCTGCTAATGCTCTCTGGCACCTTGCAGACCAAAGTAAAAATTATGTCAATAAGTAATTTTTAAAATTCCCCCCAAAAAGGAGGTATATGAGATAAAGGGAATTTAGCAAAAACAAAACACAGAAACCTGAAGATTCTCTAGATACTGGAAGTATCATGACCATTGAACAACTGTGCTTACTAAAAAGAATTGTGGTTATTGCAATCTGCTGTACTCTAGTGATATTTCAGATTTATAAAAGAATTAGGAAGAAATTATAGAATTTTAAAAATGCAATAATGAAAAGTAAATTAATTGCTTAACAGTAGGTTGTGTGTGGTTGAAGAGAAACTTAGTGAACTGGATATAGTTTGGAAGAAATTATTTAAAATTAAGCAATCAAATATAAAAGGATAGATATGGATTAGAAGGTTATGGAACTTAGGCTGGCACTGCAGCTCACTTGGCTAATCTTCCGCCTGCGGCACCGGCACCCTGAATTCTAGTCCCAGTTGGGGCGCCAGATTCTGTCCCAGTTGCTCCTCTTCCAGTCCAGCTCTCTGCTGTGGCCTGGGAAGGCAGTGGAGTATGGTCCAAGTGCTTGGGCCCTGCACCCGCATGGGAGACCAGGAGGAAGCCCCTGGCTCCTGGCTTTGGATTGGCAGCGTGCTGTCTGCAGCGCGCCAGCCATAGTGGCCATTTGAGGGGAGAACCAACAGAAAAGGAAGACCTTTCTCTCTGTCTCTCTCTCTCACTGTCTAACTCTGCCTGTCAAAAAAAAAAAAAAAAAAAAAGTTATGGAACTTAAAGAATTCAGTGAATAATTGGAGTCTGAGAATATAGGACAAAGAATGGAGAAGAAATGTTTGAAGAGAAAATGGCTGAGAATTGTCCCATGATCAAAGTTATCAAGACTTACATTCAAGAAGCCCAACAAGACCTATACAAAATCTGAAAACTGGACCTAAACACATCATAGTAAAACTTAGGAAAACCAGGGGCTGGCATTGTGGTGTAGCAGGTTAATCTGCTACCTGCAACACTGGCATCCCTTATGGACCCCGGTTTGTGCTCCACTTCTGGTCCAACTCCTTGCTAATGGCCTGGGAAAAGCAACAAAAGATGACCAAGTCTTTGGACCTCTGACACCCACATCAGAAATCTGGTAGAAGCTCCTTGCTTCAGCCTGGCCATTGAAGAGAAAATGGCTGAGAATTTTCCCATGATATGGCCATTGTGGCCATATGGGGAATGAACCAATGGATGGAAAATCATTCTCTGACTCTGACTTTCAAATAAATAAATATTAAACAAAAAACTTAAGAAAACCGAAAGACAGAGTATCTGTTTTATATTTTATTTTATTAAAGATTTATTTATTTGAAAGGCAGAGTTACAGACAGCCAGAGGCAGAGAGAGGTCTTCCATCGGCTGGTTCACTCTCCCAGTGGGTGCAATGGCTGGAACTGAGCTGATCTGAAGCCGGGAGCTTCCTCTGGGACTCCCACATGGATGCAGGGGCCCAAGTACTTGGGCCATCTCCCACTGCCTTCCCAGACCACAGCAGAGAGCCGAATTGGAAGTGGAGCAGCCGGGGCTCAAACCAGCTTCCATATGGATGCTGTTACTGCAGGTGGAGGCTTAACCTTCTACACCAGAGCACTGGCCCCTATTTATTCTTTTTTTTTTTTTTTAAGATTTTATAAATTTGTTTGAAAGGCCGAGGTAGAAGGAGAGAAAGATCAATCTTGCATCTGCTGGTTCACTCCCTAAATGGCCTGAAGAGCTGGGGCTGGGCTAGGCCGAAGCCAGGAGCCAGAAGCTGCTTCCAGGTCTGCTACCTGGGTGCAGGGGCCCAAGCACTTGGGCCATCATCTGCTGCTTTTCTAGGTGTATTAACAGGAAGCTGGATTGGAAATGGAGTAGCTGGGACTCGAACCAGCACCCATATGGGATGCTGGCACTGCAGGTGGAGACTTAACCTTTGCCACAGCACCAGCTCCAATAGTGTTATCTTGAAAACGGTCATAGAAAAAGGAGTAGGCATTTGGCATAGCAGTTAAGATACACTTGGGACACCCTCACCCCAATATTGGGGTGCCAGGGTTCGAGTTCTGGCTCTGCTCCTGGCTCTAGCTTCTTACTGATTTGTACCCTGTGAGGCAGCAAGTGATGGCTCAAGTAATCTGATCCCTGCCAACCATGTGAGAACCACTGAGTTCCCAACTCCTGAATTTGGCCTGGCCCAGTCCCAGCTGTTGCAGGCTTTTGGGATGTGAATCAGTGGCTGGGAGTATTATCTGTCTCTGTTTCTTTCTGCCTCTCAAATTAAATTTTTTGTGAAACAGTACTTCAGAAGGTAGCAAATTGACAGCTTGAGTTTTTCGACAACATTGGAAGTAGAAAAGAGTTGGAAATAGAGCTTCAAAGTATTGGAAAAGTAACTGCCGTAGAGTTTTCTACTCAATGAAAATATGCAGTAAGAATAAAATTAAATCAACATGTTTGGACAATTTAAAACTGATAATTACTATACTTTGCAAAGCAGAAAGAGATTAGTCTACATGGAAGTTCAGAGGTAGAGGACGTGAGAGTGGTGAGTATACAAATGCATCTGAGTAGATGCCAGCCAATAAAAATACTAAAAATAGCTCATGGACTCAGAGTATCCATACATATAAGTGAAAATACACAACAGTAACATAAATTGGAAGGGGGAAATGGGTTAAAGGGTTCTAAGGTTCTGAGATTGTCTGGAAGAGTAAAGGTAAACATTAATCTTAAACTTGACAAGGAAGCGTAATTTCTAGAGCGTTCAGAAAACTGTGTAACTTCCTAATTAATTGAGCAAAGAATAACAGATTTTTTAAGATGGGAAGAACCTAACATAGATTGCACAGATTATACATAAGAAAATAGAAGTCATCAGATAAAGTCCAGACATTTGAGAATTTCTTCAAGCCTTTTTTGCCTCCTTTTTGTTCAGTTTGTATTATGGATAAATAGGAATGGTAGATTATCCTAGATAAGGAGGAATTGGAGACACTGCAGCCTAATTCCTTAATTTTGTTAAAAAAATTATTTGAAAGAAAGACTTCCATCTGCTGATTCTCTCCCCAGGTGCCAGCTACGGCCTGGGAATGGAATGTGGTGGGTTTGGGGGTTGTCTATGCTAGGAGCCAGTAATTCAATCTAGGTTTCATATGAGTGGCAAGAACCCAACCACTTGAACCTCACTGCTGCCTCCCAGGGTCAGGATTGGCAGATGGCAAATTCCTTGATTGAATTCTAGTTGGAACAAAACATCCAGAGAAGACATTTTAGGAATTAAAGAAGGGTTCTGAATATGAATTATTAAATGATATTAGAGATTTATTGGCATTTTTGTTAGATGTGATGTAGTTTTGTGGTTAAGTAAGAGTATTCTTATTTCAAGTCTGCATATTTTTACAAATAGGAGTCAGATGTCATATGCTTGAAATTTCATAAAAATAATTAGCAGAAATCACATTTAAAAGAAAATCAAAAAACAGGAGAAAATGTTAAGTCTGGGAAGTAGATATACTTCCTGTAACAATCCACAGGAAAGAATAAAATCAATTCCTACTTCATTTCGTAAATAAATGTCAACTTAAGGTCATTAGGCCTAAATGGGAAAGGCAAAACACTAAAGAATTTAGAAGATAAAGAGCTTAAAAGATTTCTCAAATAAGTTTTGAAGCAGTAATTATAAAGGAAAATACTTCATTTGACATTTAAATTAAGAATTTACTTTGATGAAAAGAGGTTATTAAGAGAATGAAAGGACAATGCAGAGTGTGAAAAAAAATAATTGGAATGGGCTTAATCAAAATCTCATGCCCAAGATATATGGAGAATTGCCTTAATAAGAGAAAAAGCTTATATATAGGAGTTAAACTTGAGTAGCTCCTCCCCCGAAAGATTTCACTTAGCCAGTAAACAAATAAAAATATGAATGCAAATTTAAAGCATAGTAGGATGACCTAACAGATGAGTAGATTTTTAAGTCTGGTGATACCAGGTATCATAAAGAATGAGACCAGGGGCACCGTTGTATACTGCTAAGTGAAATCTGGTATAACTATTTTGAAAATACAGTGGCCCAGATGGATCCTTCTATGAGATCATGCCCTTCCCTCTGCATGGGATTCCCCAGTGGTTTTTCAACTCAGATAAAACCCCTAGTGAGATTCACCAGGGCCTTCTGTGATGTGGCCCTGGCTTCTTCCAACTCACTGACCACCCTCCCCTTGTTACCTTGCTGGAACCACACTGGCTTTGGTTGTCAGACATGCCAAACATTTTCTTCAGTCAGGGGTTTTTATACTTGCTGTTCCCTTGTTTGGAATGTGTTATCCTCTGATAGAGATGTGATATAAACTTTATTTCAGACTGTTCAAAGTTTCTCTTATCAGAGAGCCACAACACAACAGAAAGTAAAACTCCATTTTTCCCTAGCTGTTTTCTTCATAGAAAAATGAGCCATTTGACACATGTATTGTTTGTCTCTCACTAAAATGTAAGTTTTATGGAGCAAGATCTTTGTTTTGCTCCTTGCTATACAAGGAGTCTTCCAAAAGTTCATAGAAAATATGTATTATGAAATATCTGCAAGGATTTCAAAAATTATTGCATCACAATTTTTATTTTTCCACAAACTTTTTGAATTATTCTCATATTTCCTGATCCTAGCTTCAGATTTAGTATACTGTATGAATTGGATTTTTAAAAAGAGGAGTCAGTGACAGAGGCTTAGGAGAAATACCTTTATATCAGTATTGGCTGCTTTTAATTGATTTATGCTTGTTGTAGGATACAAATATTTAAAGTTTGTATTGAAACATTTTTATGTAATGAACTAGAATTCTTCCATTAAAATTATAGATTTGTTTCTAATTTAATTGGACTCTATTCTAATGTTGGTAATTTACAGAACAATAACATTAATAGGTGGGAGAAAATATGAAAGTTACGGGATACAGTTGAAGTAATAAATAGATGTTGCATATTTATGTTATACCATTATTTATATCATGGTAAAATACAGACATTTCCAAATTGAGTACATATATTCCTATCTGAGTTTTTCTTTTGTTCATCTCTTTTAAGTGGGAGCTGGGGAGGTGGCCAACTTTGCTGCTTATGCATTTGCACCAGCCACGCTAGTGACTCCGCTAGGAGCTCTCAGCGTCCTCGTAAGGTAAGGACACTGCATTTTACATGCAGAACCAGTAGTCAGTGTTTTAGTCTGTAAAATACTCAGTGATATCTAATTACATGAGTTTGGCATACCTATAGTGGCAACCTTAAGGAATTTTTTTTTAAGATTTATTTATTTATTTATTTATTTGAAAGCCAAAGTTACACAGAGAAGGAGAGGCAGAGAGCGAGAGAAGTCTTCCATGTGCTGGTTCACTCTTCAACTGGCCGCAATAGCGGGAGCTGTGCCAATCCGAAGCCAGGAGCTTCTTCTGAGTCTCCCACGTGGGTGCAGGGGCCCAAGGACTTGGGCCATCTTGTACTGCTTTCCCAGGCCATAGCAGAGAGCTGGATTGTAAGAGGAGCAGCCAGGACTCAAACTGGCACCCATATGGGATGCCAGCACTGCAGGCAGTGGCTTTACCCACTACACCACAGTGCTGGACCCTTCAGGACATTTTTTATACTTTGTAGTGGTTCTAAAAAGGTGATTTGTGGAATAAAGTTAATTTTATACTTTATCTTGCTATTCAGGGATGCGCTGGTTCTACTTTGATTTCAGTGTTTTAAATTTCCAGTTGTATTTGTCCCAGCATATACCTTTTAACACATGTATACTTTGATAGGTCATGGTAAAGATGAGTAAGTTTCTATGTCTGCTACAGGAAGTCATCAACTGAATCAGGACTATATGCTTCTGAAGACTGGCCTAAGGATCTTGTTTTACATGAGCAGTCTAAAACGGGGATTTCTCTTATTTTAATGATTAGCCTAAACAACTAAGTCCATGTTGAATCTCGGTTTTGGGTTCTATTCCCAGAGTTGATTAAATAATATGTGTTTTTATCTTTTTTTTCCAAGAAGTTTTTTTTTTTTTTTAAAGATTTATTTATTTGAAAGGCAGAGTTACAGAGAGGGAGAGAGAAAGAGAGATCTTCTATCTGCTGGTTCACTCCTCAAATGGCTATAATAGCTGGAGCTGGGCCAGTGCAAAGCCAGGAACTTCTTCCAGGTCTCCCATGTTGGTGCAGGGACCCAAGCACTTGGACCATCTTCTGCTGCCTTCCCAGATGCATTAGTGGGGAGCTGGGTCAGAAGCAAAGCAGCCAGGTCTTGAACCAGTGTCCATATTAGATGCTATCACTGCAGCAGCAGCTCTACCCACTATACCACAGCACCGGCCCCAGTTTGTTTGTTTGTTTATTTATTTATTTATTTGACAGGCAGAGTTAGTGAGAGAGACACACAGAGAAAGTTCTTCTTTTCCGTTGGTTCTCTCCCCAAATGGCTGCTACGGCTGGCACGCTGCACAGATCCAAAGCCAGGAGTCAGGTGTTTATTCCTGGTCTCCCATGCGGGTGCAGGGCCCAAGCACTTGGGCCATCCTCCACTGCCTTCCCGGGCCACAGCAGAGAGCTGGACTGGAAGAGGAGCAACCAGGACAGAACCCGGCGCCTCAACCAGGGCTAGAACCCGGTGTGCCAGCGCCGCAGGCGGAGGATTAGCCTAGTGAGCCAAAGTGCCAGCCAAGTTTTTTTTTTATATTATACCATTATTTATACTAGCTTTTCTTTTTAGGTTTTAATAAACTATCCATACATTATTAAAACCTGATTATTTAATTGGCAAACTCATATAATTTTGAACATTTAAGAGGGATAGATTAATCAGTAGGAATACATTAAATCTGAGCAAACTTTAAACATCATTTTGAATATAGTTTTTATTTTTTTTTTTTATTAATTTGAGTGGCAGAGAAAAAGCACATTAGCTTTTTCTCTGCCCATTGGTTTACTTCCCAAATGCCTACAGTGGTGGGGCTGGGTCTAGGCCAAAGCTAAGAACTAGGAATTCAGTGCAGGCCTTGGTGGCAGCAGCCCAAATAAGCCATCACTGCTGCCTCCCAGGAGCTGGAGCTGGGAATCAACCCTGTTCTCTGATGTGGGATGCAAGCCTCTTAATTGTTGTGTATTTTTTGCTGAGCTAAATGCCCACATCTATGCATATGATTAATTAGGATATAAATTTGTACACACTATAGCTTTTTTCCATTGTAAATTTAGGTTTAGTAAATGAGTGAAGCAGGTAATTTTTTTAAGATTGAATGTTACTTTTTTTTACTTTGGTCGAAAATCAGAATTCTCATAAGCTCACAGTGTAAGTTCAATAATGTAAATTGTGAGTTTTGATATTTAAAAATAAGAAAAATAGCTGGTTATTTTAAAGTTCCCAACCTTGTTTCTTCCCATTTTAGTGCCATTCTTTCTTCATACTTTCTAAATGAAAGACTTAATCTTCATGGGAAAATTGGATGTTTGCTAAGTATTCTAGGATCTACAGTTATGGTCATTCATGCTCCAAAAGAGGAGGAGATTGAGACTTTAAATGAAATGTCTCACAAACTAGGTGATCCAGGTAAGAATAAAAAAGCGTTATTGGTATTAACTGTATTTTACTTTTTATTTTTATGTTTAATCAAAATTTTGATTAAATTTTTCTACATAGCTTATGATGAGCACATGTTCCTCATCCCCCAACCTCTAGCTCTGTATTTCTAAATAACATGCTTGCATTGCTAACTACTTCAGGTACTGTCTACCTTTGGAGCCTGAAATTTCCCAGTGACATGTCTAGATAAGAGTCGATTTTTATCTATTGTGCTAGGTATTGGTGAGTCTTTTTAAGTTGTGTATTCATGTCTTTTTTCAGGGGAACTGAATTGAATTACTCCTTTGATATTCTTTCCCTTATTCTTTGTGAAATTCTTACACATTGTTGATTGCACCTCTTGAGGTAGATCATTGATTTTTCTGGATTTTTTTTTCCTTTTTGCTCTGCCTTCTGGTTTTCCTAAGGTGTATCTTGCATTTTTTTCTCTTAAAAGGATTTTTTTATTTGAAAGGCAAAGCGACAGAGTGAGGGAAAGAGAAAAAGATCTTCCATATGCTGGTTCACTCCCCAAACAGCTGGCACTTCCGGGTCTCCCACATGGGTGGCAGGGACTCAAGTACTTGGCCTGTCTTCTGCTGCTTTCCCAGGTATAGTAGCATAGTGCTGGATCAGAAGCAGAGCAGCAGGGCTTTAAACCATTGCTGTGACAGGGGATGCTGATGTAAATTGCAGCTTCACCCACTACACCATGATGCTGGCTTTTTGAGTTTCTATTTCTGCTATTGTACTTTTAATTTCTAAGCATTTGCTTTTGTTCTTTGATTTTTTTTTTTAAAAGACTTATTTGAGAGGCAGAGTTAGAGAGAGGTCTTCCATCTGCTGGTTAACTCTCCAAATGGCCACAACAGCCAGAGCTGTGCCTATCTAAAGCCAGAATCCAGAAGTTTCTTTCAGGTCTCCCACATGGGTGCTGGATCAGAAGTGGAACAGCCGGGATTCAAACTGGCATCTATATGGGGTGTCAGCGCTGCAGGCAGAGGCTTAACCTACTACACCACAGCACTGGTCCCTGTTCTTTGGTTTTTGTTAAAGTCTTTGCTAGCTTCAATATAAGATAAGATTATTTGAAGACCTGTTTTTGTGGTCTTGTTCTTTTTGGTTTTGGGGCATTTAGTTTTTTGTCCTTTAATGTTTTTTGAATGCTGAACATAGGATATTGAGAGAGAAATTTCTTCTGGCAGGCAAACAAGTGCAGCAGATCTCTTTCAGCTGTAGGTGTGAATTAAAGTTTTGCTGAGTCTGGTTTCTTTCCAATTAGCTATTATTCATACCTCTGTGGCTGCCAGCTGGTAGCTGGGGATGTTGATGTGGGTCCCTCTACCTGGGGGAGCTGTGAACTTGGTTACTAAGTACCACAGGTCCACTGAAGTTCCTGCAAAGCCCACAGCCCTCTGGGCAGTCTTTCCATTTGGTTCCTCTAACATGGGCTGAATAGCTTAAGGGCCCACAAGTGCCATCAAGGGAACAGGACACAGAAACTGGGACCCTCTGTTCTGTAGTTCTCTCATTTCTGGATCTTACTCCATTAAGTCCTAGCTCCTTAAGTAACCCCAAATTCTAAGATGCCATCACATTTCCACAGTTTTCACTGGCTTTTACATCCACAGTCACCTTGGCGTTGTCAGTTACCTTGGAAAATGCAAATGAGTGTTGGGCAGTTTTCCCCTTTTCTCACAATTTTGGTCCCTTTCCTCTCAATTTTGGCTGTTCTTTCATGCCCTCAAGTAAATGTTTGCTGTTTGTCTTGGGTTTTGTTTTATGTTCACCTGTTATTTACAATTGTTGTGGGCATCAAGTTAGAATGATGTTTCATGACATGTTTCTGAGGCTATTAGTGGCAGTTTTTCTTATTCTTTTAGGGGATAGTTTTTGGAAGTTTTTTCTGTGTGGAGGAAGCAAAGGCTTTATTTTTTTGTTTGCTTTAGTCGTTCTCCTGGTGATCTTTTGCTGCTTGCTTTTCTTTAAAAGGCTGGTCACATCCCCAGCAAAGCTGGTACTTTCCTGGGAGTTAAGAGGAGAGGAGGTTTTAATGTCTGGATCCACACCTTTACCGCATTCCCTATTTTAGTGTGGCACGCACATGCTCAGCTGGCCTGGGACCCTTTAGTGCAAAGGGAAGACAGTTGGAAGGGATTTGGTGCTTCGTGAATGCACTTTCAGCCAGGCCTTGCTTTCAGTCTTGTCTGCCCCCCTACTGCAGAGAGACTTTGTACCTTTTGAGCATCTTGTGCTGTGAACTAAGTTGCTATCTTGTCTGATCATTGCTGTAGCATTCAGCTCTCTTGGATCTGCTGTATCAGTAATGAGTTGTCCTCTGCTTTCTGATTTACAAAATATTGTTGCTGTCATCCCCTTACTGTATTTGCTTTTTGTGTATTTACTTTTTTAAAAAATAACTATTACTGTTTATTAGTGAAGTTTGAGGAAATAATAGTAAATTTTTGTCACTTCTCTGTGCCTGTTTCTTTTTTTTTATTTTTAAAGGCACAGTGATAGATGGGAGACAGAGAGCTTCCATCTGCCGGTTTACTCCCCAGATGGCTGCAACACCTGGTTTTGGGCCAGGCTGAGTGAAACTATGAGCTAAGAACTCCCTCTGGGTCCCCCAAATGGGTATCAGAGGTCCAAGTACTTGGGGGCCGTCTTCTGCCATCCCAGGCACATCAAGAAGCAGCTGGATCAGAAGCAGAATAACTGGAACTCAAATCAGTGTTCTAATATGGGATGCTGGCATCACAGGCAGCCCTTTTCCTCATCTCAAAATGCAGATGGTAGTATCTATATAGTAGTTGAGTACAAATTACTGAGAAAAGTGCCTGGCACACAGTGCTACACATATCTTAGCTGTTGTCATGCTTGTTTCAATTTTCCATATTCATTCAGAACCCTGACAGTACATTTCATGTTCTTAATTGATTTGCTGTTTATTCTAGCCATTTTCTCTAAATATTAAAATTTTCTTCTCTGAGGGAAAATGCGATTTGAAACCCCTCTGTTCATTTTGGCATCTGTATATTTGTTGAACAAATTCAAGGGCAGCTTGATTTTTCCTTTACTACTTTCTATCACTTCTGATCATACTTACTCTCTTTTCCTTATGACATAAAGCACTTAAGTAGGTCTGAGATGCTAGTTGAAAGATGTTAGTGGTCTAACATTTTGTGAAAAAGGTCTAGTTTAGTCTTCTACTGTGTTCATTCTAAGTATTTGTGGATGTGCTTTTGCTGGGTTAGCAAAAGACCAACTTCTATTTTCAGCCCCTAACTTTTCTCCCTCCTGTTTAGTATATTTTACTGTGGATTCTGTGTTTAAAGAGGACATTGACTAAATGTAAATTTTCTTTGCCTTTTCCAGGTTTTGTGGTGTTTGCAACACTTGTGGTCATTGTGTCCTTGATATTCATCTTTGTGGTAGGACCTCGCCATGGACAGACAAACATTCTCGTGTATATAACAATCTGTTCCGTCATTGGAGCATTTTCAGTGTCCTGTGTGAAGGGCCTGGGCATTGCTATCAAAGAGCTGTTTGCAGGAAAGCCCGTGCTGCGGCATCCTCTGGCCTGGATCCTTCTGCTGAGCCTGGTTGTCTGTGTGAGCACACAGATTAATTACCTGAACAGGGCCCTGGACATATTCAACACTTCCATCGTGACTCCAATATATTATGTATTCTTTACAACCTCCGTCTTAACGTGTTCAGCTATTCTTTTTAAGGAGTGGCAAGATATGCCTGTTGATGATGTCATTGGTACTCTGAGTGGCTTCTTTACAATCATTGTGGGGATCTTCCTTTTGCATGCCTTTAAAGATGTCAGCTTTAGTCTATCAAGTTTGCCCGTGTCTTTTCGGAAAGATGAAAAAGCAGTAAATGGCAATCTCTCTAGTATGTATGAAGTTCTTAATAGTAATGAAGAAAGCGTAACCTGTGGAATTGAACAACACACTGGTGAAAATATCTCCCGAAGAAATGGAAACCTGACAGCATTTTAAGATGTAATTAAAAGGCTAATCTATAATTCTGTTGTAAAGTGAATTTGAACATCAGAATGTGTCTTGAAAACGCATTGTCCTCAAGTAAGGTTATCTAAAGACAATCTTTTTTAAGGTTTCACTAATTTGGACCAAGAAATCACTTTTCTTAAGTGATGGTAGCTCACTATAATGACCTCAGAACATGACCGATTTATATTAACATTGTATTATTGTAGAAATATTTTACCTTTTGATTCCTTCTCCAAAATCTAAATGCACTAATGACAGTTTTAAGTGTATAAAATGCTTTATTTTTTCATTGGTGATGAAAATCTGAGTACATTTGTCATCTAAACCCATCAATCCCTAACCATATACATCTTCTTGATTTTTAAAAAGAACAAAATTATCCCAGTACATTATCTTGTGACATGTTACCTGTACAAATGACTCCTGTTTGATGAGTTATTTTAATTATGAAATGTGTTATAGTTTCAGGAATCCTAACTTTCTACATGAAGAAGCTCATTTATAAAACAAAATAAAGGTAGTAAACTGCCCCCAAAGAAATAATTCTTAGACTGTGACATTTTACTATGAATCCAACTTCCTGTGTGCATTTGGTGGCCTTAGTCCCTGGTTAAACCAGGGCATTTCCCATCTATGCGGCGGGTAAGCTCTACTTTGCAGACTGGCTGGGTTTACTCTTCAGTTTTTCTAATCCCATGATACCTAAAACCTTAACTATCATTTTATGTCAGCTCCTGTACTTTTCAATATACTTTTAAAATGAGTTATGTTGTTACAGAGACTTTTCAACAAACAACTCTGGGGAAACAGAAAATAAGCTATTTCTTAAATTTAGCTCATGTTATAATAAAAAAGTAAGCTGAAACAAAGTTCTAAGTCTGAATGCTTAGAAAAAAAGTTTGTAAAAATGGTCTCTTTGTACCAAGTATTTTACTTTCTTAAGAGTTCATTTGGTTCACTGTATAGTTTTAGAAATAATGGAAGTGTGAAAAAGGTAGAACAGTATAATTAACCCCATCCAGCTTCAAAACCTAGCTACTCATGGCCACTGATTGGCCTTTTTAAAGTTTTGAGTTTTCCCTTGGTGCTGAGAGTGTGAATGTGGGCCTGCCCCGATGTGCTCCTCCCATCTGAGGTTTGGGACAAGTCTATTCTGAGCCACACTGAGCACCATGAGAGCCTCATGTAATGGTGCTGACAGCTCTCTACTGTCCTCAAGTTTTAGGAAATAATTTGCCCTTTCAACAACCTTGTTTTAGGAGCATTTTGAGAAATTTTTGCCTAACTGCATCTCCCCATTTAATTCCACAGATATGCTGTATATTTGTGTTTTGTACCTAAGAGAACAATGTTTTACCCACTTGGGAGTGACAGTTCATTCATTGAGAATGAGTTAATTATTGCTAATTCTTACTTAAAATCTTATTACACTTGAAATTATATATAAGTATTACTACATGTTATTTGGTTTAAGCCTTATAAAACTTAGTAATATAAGACATTTAGTGATTAATTTCTCATTGTATTTTATAGGGTGAGCACAAACATCACCTCTTAATCTGTAGCAGAATCCTGGCCCCAGGCTATTAATTCACATTACCAAAGGCAACATTTTCAGGTAACTTTTAATAGTTTTGTTAAACTTTGCTTAGCTCCAGATTTCCCAAGACTTGTGGAAGTATTCCTACTTTTTTGTGTGAAAATGTCAAACATAAGAAATCTTTGTTTGTGACACTCCAACTGTGAAATAACTGCCACGTTAAGATAGAATTTGGCGTTTTGTACTGTGCACTTAATGATAGGTACAAATATTTTTTCCATTCCGTCAGCATTTCCAACAACATGTTGCCCTAATACTTTAAAATTTTGTGTTTCTCAATTTTTGTGCATGTCCATGGCATCACTCCTGATGACAGATTATAGGGACCGACTCCAGCTACATGAAAGGAGGTTGAGGGCTATTAGGGACAGGACCCACGTTTTTCTCAGTCCCTTATGTGCAGCACCTGCTATCACCAGGCCAATTTCCTTTTCCCAAACTGCTGCCCTCTTCCAGGTCATAGAAACACACAGCAAGAGGCACTTACATGTCTGTCCCTTCTCTATATACAGAAGGGAGCTGCCAAGACACAGCCATTGTCTTGCTTCTCTGGCTAGCCTGGTTTGTATTTCACCCCTGTGGAAAACTAAATAGAAAGTTCAACATGTGTGCTGGTGAGAAGGGTTGCATTCTGAATAGTTTGAGTATTTTGTCCCACTTCGTAATCCTGGAAGTGATGCAGGCTCTGACTTGGGCCCAGTCCTTTCATTCAGATAATTAGAGGACTCTGTCTAAGCCAACTAACACAGGGTTGTAGAAAATGAAAGAACACAAATAGGTTTCATTAGTTTTATTTCTATAACCTTTAAATCATATCCCCACAAATTGGATTTTGTCACAATGAGATTTGAATTGAAGTACACTGGCGCAAGACAGGAAAGGGAACAGTGACTTAAAAAAAAAAAGATCATCAGAAAAAAATCCCTCAACAAAGCTAAACTGTTAATCATTAAGTTTAATGGTAAGGGATTTTAATACAGTTAGCTGGCATTAAGTAACTTAAGGGATAAATGAATGAACTCAGCAACATTTTGACATAGCTAGCTGCTGGAACATTCCATAGAAAAACTGGAAATATCTTGTAAGAATATGATGGGAACCTTCAGCAGCCAATATTCTCAGACTTCATAATTACCAAAAGCATATACAATTTTAGTCTAGAAAAATAAGTCAATTTTATAAAATTAAGCCTTTAGATCAAAAAGCACCCTCTTTAACAAGAACAGATACTGAAAAATAGTCCCTAAAAATCTCACTAAATAGTTTATGGAAAGAAAAACATGCCTTAGAGTTATTAATTGCTGTGGGCAGCAGAGCCTAGTGTGCCCTCAGCTGCTGGCTAGAGACTGGTGGATGGGCGGCTGGAAGCAGCGCACATGCTCCACGGGCGTGCTCTCTCCATCACCAGACTTCAAGTACTTGTCCAGGATAGTGATGATCTCATCATTAAGAATCTGGAACTTGCGAATTCTTTCCACCATCTTCTTCAAAGGCTACAACAATGAGGATGTTTTACTGTTACCACTTGTAAATTTATTATGTTTCAAAGTGTTAGGATTTTCATATTTTCTCATAAAAATTGTAGCAAACCGTATTGACATAGTTTCATCTTTAATGCAACTACTGGAACAACTAGAAGATAGTCCAGTGCCCATTTGCATAATTTAAAGACCTATTCATTCAACAGCTATTAAGAACTTATTGTGTGCTAGAAGATGAAGATGGTATAATCAGTGGGGAAAGACTAGTAAACTAATAAAATGCACTATTGGGGGCAGGCTCCTTTAGTAGATCCTCCTGTTAAAATAGACACACAAGAAACTCTAAAAGCACTGCTGCTGTGGGAGGTAAAGTCAGGGGCAGATGCCAATAGCAGCAGGAAGTGACAGCCTGGGCCATAAGCAAGCTGGATTCCCCCAGGAAGTTACGCCATAGTAGTCCCAAAGAGTAACACTGTGGTGCTGAGCAGAAGCAAATGCAAACCTTGGGAGGAAAGCTATATAAATCAGTTTAATAAAATAGAAGCTCGTAAATAAATAACTTGTTTCCTTATGTACTGGTATTTTTAAGCTTCCTAAGGCCTTCAGAATTAAATTTGACAGATGTCTTTTTTGTCAAATTTATCACCAAAATTTGAACAAAAATCATTTTTAAAAGTAAAAACTAACCAGACTTGGCACAGCTTAAGTGAGTTAACTACAGACATATCTGAAGAAAGTACTAGAGATGTAGCCCAGACAGTCAAGGAAATGAAGGCATGGGCACTATAACAGTCTCTCCAAGACCTGGTACCTGTGAGTATATTACCTTTCATGGTGAAAAAGACTTGGCAGATATGGCTAAGGTTGGAAACTCTTAAGACACAGGACTAGACTGGTTCTACCTAGAGATGTGACAGAAGGGTATGTCAGAAGATTAGAAGAGAGCTCAACCCAGTGTTGGAAGTGGGGGAGCAAGTGACAAGAATGAAGAGAAATGTGAGCTAACAGCCTGCAAGAAATGACTGCAGGGAACTGACTACAGCCAACTACCTGAATGAGCCTGAAAGCAGATGCATCCCCAGAGCCTCCTGAAGGAACACAGCACCACTGACACAGGGATTTTGGCTTTGTGAGACTGTAAGCAGAGGAGTCAGCTAAGCCATGCAATACCCAGACTCCTGATCAGAAGAACTGTTGCTAAGCCTGTGGTGATTTGTTTGTTTGCAATGGAAAAGGGTCATGGAAAATAGAATACACAGGTCTAACAAAAGTCTTTAGAAAAGGGCTAAAATATTTGAGAAGATAATGGCTGGGTTTTCTAGAATTCAAGGAATTCTTAACACAGAAAAGAGCTTAAAAACAGCTGGAAAAGCACTTTGATTTCTGGGAAGCCAGAAGACTGGTATAATATGCCAATAAATTGAAAATGTGGATTCTGCAAGGTAAGAAATGAAGTAGATCTAAGTACCTTGAAAAGAGAAGGAATTTGAAACAGTTTGTATTTTATCTGCTGTACTGCTTTACATTTTAATTCATTTGGGGAAAGAAAGGTTCAGCTAGTGGTACTTTACTAGGATGCAGAACTTTCCCAGAAAAAGTTTTCTTAAGTAGGAAGTACGTTTCTGCAAAACATCCAAATGACAGAAGATTTTCATTCACATACCACGTTTTTGATGATCTCATCTTTGCCATCATGTTTCTGGACTTTAAGTAGATGATAGCAAAAATCCAGCACAGCAAAGCGCCGCTGTTGCCCGAGAAGTACAATGATCATACAACCAGCCCAGTGGAGTCCATCACCAAAACACTGCCTGGGAGAAGCAATAAACAGTGGGAAAGACTTCATAAATTTTTTATCTGAGTCTGTTTCCACACATCCATGACCAAACCACCAGAATCATCAAGAGCATGGGGTGATTTTCCATTTCTGGTAAACACCTCTTCTGGGTTCCTCTGGCATGCTGTAGTTTCCCTACAAACTGTTCCATTCCAGAGCATCAGATGTTAACACATACTTACTCAACAGTAAACTCATGCGTCCCCACTGGAATGCAGTAGACAAACTGCATGGCACTCCACAGCCTGTGAAACTCCACACACTCATCCACGTGCATGACTCCATTGCTAGGCAAAGGCCCACGCCAGATAGGGTCATCTAGAAAGGTTCGAATCCGTGTCAGGATGACCTCAAACATAGACAGGCCGCAGCAGAGCCGTTCCTTGGTCAGCAGGTCACCCTCTCTTGCGATTGCAATTTGCTGCAGAAAGCAAAAGCAGAGGGATATTATTGGGCCCTCAACAGAATGTTAGTGCTGAGACCAAACTACTATAGTTTTGTTCATGGAATCTTAGCTTAGAGAGAGGATTTTTAGGAACAAAAGTCAAATACATCAGCAATTACCTATCTGGCTTATGATATACTACTACACAAAGGGAATGATGCACAGCTGTTCTGATTAGAACATCTGGCAATGTCCAGAGACATGTTTTGGCTGTCAGAATGTGGGCTGGGTTTACTGACACCCAGCAGGTGGGGGACACAGCTAAATATTCTACAGTGCATAGGACTGCCCCCACTACAAAGAGGTCTGAAATGGCAGCAGTGGCAGGCTTGAGTATTCCTGATCCTGGTGTAAATTGATACAGAACTTTACCCTGATACCCTGCTTCCTGTCCTAATTTATTGTTCTTAAAAACCTATGAAAAAGCTTCATTGTCCATCATGAAGGATGGATAATGGCCAACAACTAGTGAAATTTACTGAGCATGTCTTAGGTCCAAATGCTGTACTAAATCTTTTCTATCATTAGCTCATTTAAACTCCACACCCACTCTGAGACATAGAGGCCCAAGTGGCTGAGTATCAGCCCCAATCCCATCACGTGGCCTAGTATGGACACCCAGCCTGCAATCCCCGGCAGCCACAGCACATTACCTGAGGAGTCCCTAGCCTTTCAATCAGTGGGACAAGATGCAGTGGGGCATACTTGGATTCCAGTCTTTTCATCTTGGCATCAAGTCTCTCCCCCTCTGCAGTAGAAAAAAAAAAATTAGTTATATTCTCCTTTGTTAAGAAAATGAAAGATTTTTAAGTTAACAAGTATAGAGATTCTTTTTAAAAATTCTTTCATAGAACTAATCTGATGCTTTAAATCAAATGGAGAAAACTGATCTTCTGTTCAGTATTCATTATTCAAAAAACTTACTGAAAATTCGAACTATACAGGGAACCTCTTTACCCATAATCTACTAAGACAGTGCCTCCTGGTCACTTCTGCTCCCATGCTGTTGTAAAGATTACATATAATTTCAGCCATAAATACCTGAGCTATAGAGCATCCATTTAATTTGGCTGTGAGTACTCTTCGGTTATTCCCAGTTGTGACTATCCAGGCATCAAGCTCAGTCCAGCACTGGCCTTTAGTTCTTGGTTGCACAGAGCAATACCACACTGCAATAGGCATTCTGAACTCCTGGTCCACACTGGACACACAGCTTACCTTTCACATGGACACGTGGTAAGATGTTCTGGAAAGGGGCTGCATGTAACAGGTCACATACTTCTTCTAAAGACTAGGGTAGAGAAAGAAGGTCATGTCAGCGTGTGTCTCACAGCAAGATGGACAGAGAAACCTGTTTCTGGAAACAAGGCATGTCTGCCAGTGAGGCCAAGCCCTCCAAGTGGTGTGGCAACAGAACTCTGGGATGATGGAAATGTTGTCTGTCTGTGCTGTCCATGCCATGGCTACCCCACCACATGTGGCTACTGAGTGCTGGGAATGTAGTTGTTGTACCCAAAGAACTGAATTTTCAATTATTTTTAATTCATTAAAAAAATGTACATATGAGTATGTATTGGGACTGAGTGTGGTAGTCTGCTGTCCAGGATTCACTGGTTTGGCAACCCTTCCCCCACCCCTACTAGCCTCAACCACACTTTATAGCGAGACCTCACTGTACACCCAGGCAGAAGGAAGGATGCTTCCCCAGTGAATAAGGCAGGAGAAGCAGAAGGAACCAGGAACATAACTGTGGAATCCAGCTCATTCACAAAGCCTGGAACAAAGTTCTGCACTATTAACTCTGGGCTGTTGTGAGACCACAAACTCCTTTCCAGTGGCAAGAAGCCTACACAAGGAACATTCTTCAGAATTCACACATTGAGAAAAAGTGTACCTCCAGTATTACAGAGCTTTCAGAACCTCTAAAAACCCACCATGAACCTAAACATGGCAAGAATAGGACAACCAGGTTCTTAGACCATGGGAAAGGGTCCTTGCAGATGGAAGTGATTCTTCTCCACAGGGCAAGTGGAAGATGTAAGAGGGCCTCCTACTCATACCTTTCCTGCACTGTTAGCATCCATCAAGACAGAATAAAAGATTAAACAAAGAATCAGCCATCACAAAGTCAAGACAACTGATTTTACCTCCTGAGGACCTCCCCAAAAATGGTGATAGTACAACTAAGACCAGAAGAAGATGAGAAGACTAGTCTATAATCATCAAGCCAGTCAAACCTAGTGCCAGCAGCCAGAAGGCTACTGTGTGCTCCCCTGGGGACACTAAAGAAGCCTGACAACTTCAGACCCCACTTTCTACTCCTAAGGCAGGCAAAGGAGCGGCAATCTTAAGTGCTTCATTAGATATACAGAATAGCAGCTAACTCAGGACCAGTGTCCACAGTGGAGCCTGCTGCCATGGGGCTTGTATTCTAGAAATGGAAGCACACAGTAGGAGAGAGGAACAAGCGAAAACAAAAAGGGAAAAGGCCAGAGGTGAATGTACATTGCGCAAATGCACATCAGTAGTGATGTCGGGTGTGCCATGCAGCTACAAAGACGACCATCACCACATCCTAGGGTGATGTCATCTCACAAGACACATGCTTACTGTCAAGTGCAAAAAGCAAAGCAGAGAGGGCAGTGGGCCCATCTGGACTAACAGGATAGGATGGTGATTGGCCTTACCAGATGAGGAAGCTGAATGACCCCTGGATGGTCAATGGGACTACAGGTGGAAGAGTCCCAGCAGGAGGGCATGAATGGACTCTGTAGGCCATGCAGGGGCCCCACTGGGCAGTCTGTGCTTCTTAGGTATCACTGCCAATGAGCTTAAATTTTTGCTCCCAAACCAAACTAGAAAAAGATGAGAATTGGTATAAAAACCAGCATTAATAAAAACAAAGGAAGGGCATGCATTTGGCCTGTAGTTAAGACATCCATTAAGATGTTTGCATTCCACATCAGCATTGATTCCAGGCTTTCAGCTTGTTAATGTAGATGCTAGGAGGTAGCAGTGATAGTTCAAGTTGTTGAGTCCTTGCGACCAACATGACAGACCTGGATTGAATTCCTGGCTCCCAGTTTCAGTCCCAGTCTCTGTTGGGGACATTTGGAAAGTGAACCAATGGATAGGCGTACACACTCTCTCTGCCTCTCAAAAAACAGACTTAAAAAAAAAATCTTTATTTCTAAAACAGCTTAACACAACCACAGCTAAATAACTATATTACAAGAATTTTTAGGTTGGGTTTCTGGAGCAGGATTTAAAAAACAAAAATGCTACTTTCCAAAAGCTGTAAGATGAATCTGTTCAACACACAGATTTGGAGTAAGATTAACAATTTTGGTTCTACAATAAAATCCTGGTGGCAGCCCTGGCCACTACAGCATGGTCTCAGTGTCAGATAACTACAAGGGATGTGCTTGTCTCAAGACACAACAGCTATGTTTTAAGGATCTGAGCAGAGTTCTCTTACCCTTAAGCATCACACTCCTTCCAGAAGTCAACAGCTATCCAGTCAGTGCCATGACAATGGGTGGAGATTGTTCCTTTGAATAGTCTAAGTTTTCCTTCAAATTCATGCGGTTCTGTAATTATGTCCATGCAAGCACTCCTTGACATCTTCTATTTTGCAGGTAAAGCAAAACCTTTGAGTTTATTTCCTAAAAAGGCAGCTGGACAGAAGAGATAGCAGCCTTTCATGGGCTTCCTGCTACCACCTGACCCAATTCCTCAGGCTGTCCCCTCAGGAAGTCTCACTGCCTTACTGGAGGCCAGTGGGAGAAAACACCATGGATAGGACCACTGAGGAGAAGTCTGTGTGTTCAGGAAAAGCTGCCCATGAAGGTACTTTTCCTGTAGTATAGAATTTTCCTGGGGCCGGCACTGTGACGCAGTGGGTTAACGCCCTGGCCTGAAGCGCTGGCATCCCCTATGGGCAAGGGTTCTAGTCCCGGCTGCTCCACTTCCTATCCATCTCCCTGCTTATGCACCTGGGAAAGCAGTAGAAGATGGCCCAAGTCCTTGGGCTCCTGCACTCATGTGGGAGACCTGGAAGAAGCTCCTGGCTCCTGGCTTTGGATCGGTATAGCTCCAGCCGTTGTGGCCATCTGGGGAGTGAACCAGCAAAATGGAGGTCCTCTCTCTCTGCCTCTACTCTCTGTGTAACTCTGACTTTCAAATAAATAAATAAATTTTGCTATATTAAAATTCATGATGAGAGATTACTTTAAATTTAAAGGAATTTGTTGTAACTTACCTGGTTTTCTAAAATTCACATTTATTTGGTGAACACTAATTTCTTAGAGTAAGGCTGCCCTAGACATGGGCTACCTGCTGGCCAAGACTGGCAGGTTCTCCGTCTCATGCGCAACACTCTTAGTATGGAAGGTTCCCTGGCAGGGATTGCTCAAAAATGTCCCCACTGAGCTCACATGTAGTGGGGACAATGAGGTCTTAGGGCTGCTGCAGTCCCTCTGCCTTGGAGTGCAGGAATAGGAGAAGCTGAAAGACACAGGTCTTCACAAAGGCTGTTGGCCTTTGGATGTGTCCACACCTGACCCTGGACCAACAGACGTGAGCCAACTCATATGTTACTGTAAGGTGGCCAGTGCTAGAGCTCAGTCCCTGGGGGCCTGGTAGTCTACCACACCCTGACCTTTGACTCCTTTTCTGAAAAGCCACTATGTACGTACAAGAAAGCTTTGAAAAGCAACCTAGCTGCGTCCAGCATTGTGGCATAGCAGGTAAAGCTGCTGCCTGCAATGCCAGCACCCCATGTAGGCGCCAGTTTGTGTCCCAGCTGTTTCACTTCTGATCTACCTCCCTGTTAAAGGCCTGGGAAAAGCAGAAGATGGTCCAAGTGTTTGGGCCCCTGCCACCCCCTTGGGAGACCTCCTGGCTTCAGCCTGGTCGTTGCAGCCATCCAGGAGTGAACCAGCAGATGCAAGATCTCTCTCTCTCTCCCTGTCTAACTCTGATATTCAAAATAAACATTAAAAAAAAAGTGACAAAAAATCCCTAGAGCTTTAATGCAATACCTATCTACATGCCAAAATGGTTTTTTAATACATTTGGCAAGCTAGTTCTAAAACTTATAGGGCAGAGCAAATATCCCCAAAGACGACATACTTGTGCAAGAGAACAAGGTAAAGGAAAGTACTATCATGTAATAAGAATGATGAGAGCTGTAATGAGCATGACTTGTTATGCCTGGGACAGACACATGGACCAAGGGAATATGTCAAAAGCCAGTGTGTCGAAAGATATGTCAAAAGACCAGTGCACCCAGAAAGCGGACAGGTGACAGGGAAGGACATCACTGATCAGCCAGGGAAGGAGGAACAACTGGTCAGCCCATGAAGATAAGAAACTTCATCTACACTACACTCCAAACTAACTCCAGAAGTGTTGCAAACTTCAGTGCAAAAAGCAAAACCTAAACCCATTAGATGATGATATGAATGTCTTGATAACTCCTATGTAAGAAAAAACTTTAAAAGGTTACAAAAGTGACAATCCTTAAAAAAATGACTATGTTGAAATTAAGATCATTTGATCAAAAGTCACCATTATCAGCATGAAAAGATGAGGTACAAGAGAAATATTTGTGATTTGTATAATGCACACAAAGAATTCCTTCCCCTACATCATCTGTACAGAAATACACAAAGGAACCAAATGGTGCCAATTGACAGAAAACGAGAGCTAATGACCAAATGTCTTCCTTGTTAGTCATGAGGTAAAGGCAAACTAGAGTTGCATAGGGCTCTAACAGTCACTTGGTTTGCAGTTCAAGAAGTTGTAAACTGTTAGTTGATGAGATGTACAGGGGACAGAGCATCAGGTTAAAAGACTAGGAGGAGGCAGTCAAGAAAGTAAGGTATCCCACTGTGATTAAGTGTGCCTGTACTCTTAGGTATTCATATTATACTGTTGTCTTCAGTAGCTAGGGGGGAAATACAGCTATTGAAATTCAATGAATCAGTTTCTCTGTGACATTGAGCCACTTCAGGTGCTCAGCAGCCTCAGAGAAATTCCCTCACTGCAGAGACTTCTGGGCAGTAATCCCATCTGCATATCTTACAGGCACATCAAATATGTAATTTAGCTGTTGGAAATACCACAGGACATTTTCACAATGTTCACAAAACAAAATATTCTCAAAATAAATCTATATCACATTTTTTTCAGTTGTAAGTAATCATTCAAAAATCAAAGTCTAAGTTGCCATGAAAAAAAGAATGGTGCTTTACAACACGCCCATACTCCCTACTAAATAAGGCTGCTTGTACTACTGGCAGAGTGTGACCTGGGCATGCTTGGGGCAGGCTGGGTCAAGCACTCACCAGGCTCTGTTCAATGAGCAGGCAGAAGAGGACAGCATTGCCCACCTCCCGCAGATTCTGGAAGCACACAGTCTTCAGTTCTGCGTACTCCACAATGTCCTTCAGCTGGTGGTGGAAAAACTCCAGGATGCCTGTGAAAGCAAGCAGCAGTGTTAGGAGAGGCTGCAGAAGCAGAGTCCTAGCAGCCAGGAGCACCTGCTACTCTAACCTTGCCAGCATGCCCTGTTATGGGAATGGCCTCGATGTCCTGTCCCCAACATCTTCCCTCAATGGTGGATGTCCACCATCTGGGAACATCCTCTCTAGACCACATGAACCTGTTTTCAGTCAACCCTGTATCTTCAGAGAAGGCTACAATAGGAAATGTCACCACATCCCAAGAAAAAAGAAGGACCTTACTGCCATCTCCAGTGGTGACAAAGTATGTGATAAAACCCAACGTCCCTTCACACGATGGAAAGGAATGTAACCTGATAATCTACAAAACCAGACAGCTACAATGGGGAAAGCTGCACCCTTACTGCCTCCCGGGAGTTTCAGAGCAAGCCATGCATTCTCACCCAGGTCCTGTACAAGGGAACAGGTCCACAGACATGGAAAACATAAAGATCTGAAAGAAAATCAGTATTCCCTAATTTGATCTATAGATAAAATGCTAATCCAGTCAAGAATCAAGAAGTGGATTCCCACGTTCATGGTCATGCAGAAGACAGAATGGCCAAAACTACCCAGGGGAGGACAGAGCTAGACACTCTACAGACTTGAACCACCTATCCCAGTGGGTCACACCAGAGTACCACCTCCAGGATTCACATGCCTGCCTCCCTGCAAGCCCCTTCCTCAGTGCAGCCCATGCCCCCAGGGTCCCTACCACTGCCATCTCACAGTTCCTGGCTTCACTGTCTAATCCCCTGTGGAACCTCCTGGTGGAGAGAATGCTCCTGCACCTGTGTCATCCCGACACACTCCCACCAGGGAAGCTCTATAAGCCACTAATGTATACATGGTGGTACCCATACTGAGCTTGGTCTAAAAGGTTCCCTCTTCAGCATTTAAAATTCCTTCTCAGGCCAGTGCTGTGGTGTAGCAGGTAAAGCCACTGGCAGCGATGACAGACCCCATATGGACGCTGGTTTGAGTCCCAACTGCCCCACTTCTGACCCAGCTCCCTGTTCATGGCCTGGGAAAAGCAGTGGAAGATGGACCAAGCTGTTTGGGTCCCTGCCACCCTGGCCCCTGGCTTTGGCCTGGCTCTGCCCTGGCTGTTGTGGTCATCTGTGGGGTGAACCAGGGGATGGCAGATTCTTTCTCTGTAACTCAGCCTTTCAAATAAATTTTTTTTAACTTTTATTTAGTAAATATAAATTTCCAAAGTACAGTTTATGGATTACAATGGCTTCCCCCCCCCATAACTTCCCTCCCACCTGCAACCCTCCCATCTCCTGCTCCCTCTCCCATTCCATTCACATCAAGATTCATTTTTGATTATCTTTATATACAGAAGATAAATTTAGTATATATTAAGTAAAGATTTCATTAGTTTGCCCCCACACAGAACACAAAATGCCAAATACTGTTTGAGCACTAGTCATATCATTAATTCACATTGAACTACACATTAAGAACAGAGATCCTACATGGGGAGTAAGTGCACAGTGACTCCTGTTGTTGACTTAACAAACTGACACTCTTGTTTAAGGTGTCAGCAATCTCCCCAGGTTCTAGTCATGAGTTGCCAAGGCCGTGGAAGCCCCCTGAGCTCGCTGACTTTGATCTTATTTCGACAAGGCCATGTCAAAGTGGAAGTTCTCTCCTCCCTTCAGAGAAAGGTACCTCCTTCTTTGATGGCCCGTTCTTTCCACTGGGATCTCACTCGCAGAGATCCTTTCCTTCCCCTTCCCCTTCCCTTCCTTTCTTTCTTTTCTTTCTTTCTTTCTTTCTTTCTTTCTTTCTTTCTTTCTTTCTCTCTCTCTCTCTCTCTCTCTCTCTCTCTCTCTTTCTCTCTCTCTCTCTCTTTCTCTCTCTCTTTCTCTCTCTCTTTCTCTCTTTCTTTCTTTCTTTCTTTCTTTCTTTCTTTTTTTTTTTTTTTTTTTTCGCCAGAGTGTCTTGGCTTTCCATACCTGAAATACTCTCCTGGGCTCTTCAGCCAGATCTGAATGCCTTAAGGGCTGATTCCGAGGCCACAGTGCTGTTTAGGACAACTGCCATTCTATGAGTCTGCTGTGTATCCTGCTTCCCATGTTGGATTGTTCTCTCCCTTTTTTATTCTATCAGTTAGTATTAGCAGACACTAGTCTTGTTTATGTGATCCCTTTGAATCTTTTTTAAAAAATTAATATTTCCTTCTCTAGTCAGAATACATGCTTTGTATTATCCCAACATAGAAAATGAATGTATCTATTTATGACAATGAATCGAACTTAAGATTCTCCTTTTGAAATTAGCAGAGCTATTTATTTGGACAGCCTCAGATCGACTGTCTACAAGTCACACGGGCCTACAGAGCATATCTGTGGTAGGCTCCACAGCCTGGGAGCAGGACAGGCTTGAGGCAGAGGGGATGTCTCCTAAACAGAGGGGACTACAGGGAGGGACAGGAGGTGAGGACCAGTGTCCCCCTTCCATGGAGCTGTCCCTGGGGCTTATTAACTCCCGAAGCCCAGCAGGGCAGCAGGACCCAGTAGTGGAGCTCCTTGCCCACCCTAGTGGGCCTTTTCTTTTTTCTTTTTGGTGGGGGATCTGGGGCAGTGCACAGGATTCAGGGCCCACCACTTCTCAGTGCCTGATACTTTCTAACTGACTTCAGAGGGCCCTTCGGCTTTTACAGTGGCAAATAGGGACTCCACACATCTGCTTCCTGGTTGTA